CTATGCGTAACTCTGCAAAAAAAAATAAAATAAAAATAAAATAAAAATCAATTACAGTAGTATATGGATTGCCAAAGAAATTTGTTGCATTAGTACTTGTAGGAAATCGATGCCCCCCTGCAGTGGTCACCTCTATAAAGACTTCTACTTTGATGGCCTCCCGCTTTATTGCTACGACATTGCTCATTGATGCTTGGAGCGCTATGAGCAGTCCCGATGCTTTCACTCACATACAATTGCGTGCCAGATTTTACACCAGGCACCATATTGTGACGCAGCCAGCTATGACTTACCCTGGTGCGTTGGACATTGAAACGCTCACATTCCAAGCTGACTTTATCGTTTCACTGGAGTGTGAGCCTGCTCTGTGACTTCACTGTGAACAAATTAGTCAACGTGGGCACTGGAACATTATGTGGTGCAAGCCCGCTCTATCATTTCACTGTGGACACGCACCGGCGGGCGGCAAGTAAACACACACACAGCTCAAGGAGATACTTTTGAAGCGCTGCTCGTTGGTGCAAAGAACAATGGGTGGAAAAAAAAAACCAAAAAAAAGACATATGAGGAATTGTGGCAGGTGTTATGTGACCGGTGACCTTCAAAAGCATTGTGTCCCACATTCAGAAAAAACATGTTGTGACCTCGCACTCGGTGTGGTGGTTTTGGAGTTTGCCAGTCACAAGACATGTGTGGCAACCTTATCGAACGACCTCACCAACTGCAATATTTGGTTTTACTCATCATGTACAATCATATGAGTTATAACTTGGGGTTTGTATTAAATTTTCAACAATTCATGGGTGTACCCACTAAGCTAGGCTCTTGGGTGACCTCACCGAGTGCGAGGTCACGGTTGCAACGTGTCTTTTGAATGTGTAGTAGAAAGTTGTTGAAGTCCTTCGGGACATCCGTTAAAAGAGGAACGGTATAAAGCAGATCAGCATGGTCGTTGTGCAAGGATGACACGAGAAATCGAAATATGGTCAAAAAAGGAAAAAAAAGGTCCAAAAATAAAATAAAAAAGGGTTGCCGATTAAGTCGGTGTGTGTGTGTGTGTGTGTGTGTGTGTGTGTGTGTGTGTGTGTGTGTGTGTGTGTGTGTGTGTGTGTGTGTGTGTGTGTGTGTGTGTGTGTGTG